TTTATCGTCTTCTTCTTCTTGCTTCAACTATCTCCTATAAATTTATAGTCCCGCATGAGAGAGAAAGACTAGGACCCACCTCCCTGACTTTCTCTCTCCGATCCTATTCCAAATATCAAACTATACATCACATTTGGAGAAGATTATTCACTGTAACTGACACAGAATTTGTCCGCTGCAAGTCCTGTAGTATCTCTAAAGCTTTAGATTCTAAAACATATCCAAACAAGCAATAATCTTAATTCTTAACATAAACAAGAATGCCGAGAACTATTGATTCCATTAAACATGAAACATTCGAGCAAATACACAAACTTATCATGCATTAAATATTCCGCAGCGTAAGTACACCATAATTAGAGTTTCACAAGATAAATGCCATCTTACCATCCTTTTTTATTTCATTTTAGTAAAAATACAGGAAACTCAATCATCATCATCAATATCAATATCAAATCTACAGCATGCAGGGCTGTTCACAAGCTGTAAAGAATACAACTGAAATTTTTCAGACTCCAAGAAATACATAAGTCCAACCTACTTAAAATAAAATAACAACATTAGACATGATGAAAAAGTTGAGGGAAGAGTTTAATTTCCTAATGCAAAGACAAGTAGGAAAAAAATTCCAATTGCATTACTTAAATAACAGAGACGCATATGAACCCCATCAAAGACAGTGCCTACAAGCATGGTAGTTACAGAGCCTATGGTTGGTTGGGGGGTGGGGTTTTCCAAGCCCATGTTTGATTAAACCATGGTGAAGTGGAGGGGAAGCCCCTCCCGTCTTAATTAAAAAATATATATTCATATTTTTTATATTTTAAAATCAAACAATTCGGTAATATATATATATATATATATATATCATTAGCATGCAGTCCTGCAATATATTAAAGTAAATCAGATTGGTTTGCACTGTTTGACAACCAGAACAAAGAACTATAGAGAGTCAGAACGACGCTGGAGCAGACGAAGGTGCAAAGGTCTGAAAGCTGAAGTGGTTGAGAAGCAGGGAGGGCTACAACAGGAAATAGCATTTTCTTCCCAACATCTCTCCACTTGTGGAGAGAAAATTCTAAGACAAGGATTGCGAGACGCACACCTTATTTTCTATCATACTTTTCCTTTTATCTAATTTTCTCTCCCTTTCCAGACAAGTGAAAATATGTTTTCTTTCATGCTTTCTCTCCTGGTTTTCTTTCTTCCCATACTTTCTTCCCATCTAAACAAAAAGTTAAATCATCATTACATGGTTTCCCAGAATAGGTCTCTTCGTCACATCAAGCATGCGCCAACCTAATTGACTTCAATAATGCTTGATGATCTTGTTGAGAGGATGAAATTCAGAAGATCTATAGACCGATATGGTTATTGGGTAAATTTTACACAAGTGGGCCACACGTAGCCTGTTCACAACCAAAACAAAGGGGAAAGCTGGATTATAAACTGCACTCAATTGCCATCAAGCATTCCAAACACAAATCTTAAACAAAATTATTTACAAACTACTCCCTTCATCCCTACATCTCTATATATAAAGTATTTTCTAAAAACTTATTTTATCCTTAAAAATAAGGAATGTCATGCTATTTTGGAATAATTCAGGCAATTTTTCCTTTATTGGCTTGAAAAAAGGAATAGATATTAATTATGTGCTTTACCTACTACGATGAATATTAATTGTGATATTATTAGAGGTAAAATTATTAAATTGTTATGATTTTATGTGCTTTTAATTAAATAACTTTTATTAGTATACGAGATTTGATTAAAAATGCCTTATATATATAAGGATAGAGGGAGTAATAATTTTGAATACTAAAACACCTTTTGTTCTTTTTTTTTTGGTTAAAATTTTATTTGTGATGTATTTTTTTTTAAATTTTTTGTGTTAGATATTTGCAGATTATTGAAATATCCTACTCAAAATATCTATGAAGAAAGCTTGTGAGTCTAGGTTAGTAAAATTTTTATGGTTAAATTTAATTTTTTTCATGTAGTTATTTATTTTAGTATAGGTATGTGCTTGCTCAAAAAAATTTAAATTGTTTCCATGTGTTAGTTATTTTCCATGTAGTTATTTTTTTCCTGTTGCATGAGTATTTTTTATTTTTATGATATTCAATTTTTTAATTTTAAGTGATTTTGGTTAAATGTAATATTAGATTAAATTTAGGTAAAAATTTAAGTTATAAATAAATAAAATATTGTTTATAAATAAATATTTGAATGTGAAGAATTTATTGTCATTAGGATATAAATCTCATAAAACCAATGCTAGGAAAAAGAAGGAGTTGATTAGTTATATTTATATTAATTCATACAAGTTTATGATAAATTACATGTTTAATTTGACATAATAATTTCAATTTTTATATTTACAGGAAATAATTGGTGAAAAATAGTTAAATTGTATAGATCTATTTGTGGCAACCTATATTCACAAGGATGGCACTATACTTTTAGTTGCACAAGCTAGAATAGTATGGTGCAAATTTTTAATTATTATAACAATTGCATCTCCATCACCAAAGTACTAAACTTTAAATGCTAATATATTACATGATCAAATACGTGAGAAAGCAATTGCAGGTAGGGTTGTGTGATGAACAGGAAGCAGACAACATGTCATATGAAATTTATACACAAGTGATTGGCTCTGAGCATCTTGGACGTGTTTGCGGCTTATGTATAGGCTCCACCTTATCCATGATGACTAGATTGCTTCTTGCTTTTTGAGGGTAAAATTCGGTGGAGGATATATATGCCCTGAATGCAAAGATGGCACAATTAGAATAGGAGAATATGACTCAAAAAGAAACGATTGCCACATTACAACAGAAGGCGGATTGGATGCAAAGTTAGATTGAAGAGTTGTATGAGTTCATGAGGAGGAATCAAGGTGGTCAATCTTCGAATCCATCCCCTGGTGATCATGGGCAATGAGTATCCTAGGCTGCTCTTAAGATAATGTTGTTTGTACGATTTGAATATTCTTAACTAAAATTTTGTGACTCTTGTTATGGTAGATTTAATTAACGTGTTTGTTAAGACTTATGTATTTTTATCATGCGTGGTTAATATTATGGTGGACTTTGTTTCATATATATGTTATTATATTAATATATTTTCATTTATATACTGTATTTAAATAATTTAAAATAAAATAAATAAAAATAATTAAGAAAAATATAAAAAATTAATATAGTGAAGCATTTAATTGAAAGGAACACTCTTTGTTAGGGCATTTTTATGGGAAACGCTTTCTGTCGGGGCGTTTGAACAAGAGATGCTTACACAGGAGGCATTTATTATGAAACGTCGCCACAGGGGGCATTTATGGAGGCATTGATTTTGTAGCTAAAAATGCCCTTAAAGAAGGCATTTCAAACGCCTCATGTGGAGGCATTTATTACATCATTTTTTTGTAAATATTGTCGTCCTCTTCTCATAATCGTGCACTTTCTACATTTGAAATGTCTTTACAATGCTTTCTTCTTTCTCTTCTCCATCAAGAAGGCTTTCAAGGTTGCCAATTACCTAGCGGAGCCTCTGTCTACAAAGAGTCAGCATCATCGTACCATATTAATTTGTTTATTTTCATGTTTTTAATAGTTAACATTTGTAATTTTATCATCATGTTAACATTAATTATTGTTTTTCATTATTTAATAACAAGATAATTTAATTCTTATAAATAAAATAAAATGAACGACACTGAAAATAATTAAATGATTTGTATTGAATATTAATTTCAATTATGTAAATTAAATATTAAAAATGATTGAAGTCAAATTTATTTATTGAATATTAAATTCATATTTTGAAAAATTAAAAAATAAAATTAAAAAAATTTTGAAGAACATTTTGAATGGGTTATTTACAAATAAACACATCTTCTGTAGGTGTGGAGGCGTTTTCTTCAAACGCCTCCTTTGAGGGGTTTGCTCATAAATGCCCCTTGTAAGGCATTTGCAGAAAAAAATTATCTCAAATATATCATTGCTCAACGACTTCTTTAGAGGCGTTGTTTCAGTTTGAAAAAAAAAAAAAAAAGGCTCCCTTAGGAGGTGTCTTTTGTGGTTTTTGGCATTTTAGGAAAATGACACCAAAGTAGTGGTCACGCTTGTTTTGTGGCGTTTTTGAAAAACACCGCAATCACCTTTAAGAGTGTTTTAAAACGTCTCCATAGCAGGAAAAAAAAAATGCCTCAAAAGCAACATTGTTTTGTAGTGAGATGTTCCTCTTCATGCAAAGGTTATTTTAAATAATCCTTGATTATTACTTACTAAGCTATGTCGGTTCATGAAACAATATATAGGATCATGATTTTTAAGTTAAAAGTTTTAGGCACTACGTCGTTAGTGCTTTACTGATCAGTTCTTCATTGGTGACTTTATCTTTGTAATGACTTTTTCCCTTTTTATGTACTCCATTTTTTATGAGATTAGGTGTTTAAAAGATATTAGAAACTTTTTAGTTTTTAAATATGTAATTAATGAGTTTTTTTTTAAATATTCCTAATAAATAAACCATTTAATTATTCACCATTGATTGAGACACTTTATAAAATAATGGCAAACATAAAAGACATCAATAAAATGTGGAAAAGACATCTTATTGATCTCTTTGAAAGGGGGGAAAAGACATCGTCGGTGCAAACTTACTGAGGACATCGATAAGTTTTTCCCTTCCATTATTGACGAAGATACCACAAATAGTCTTGTTTGGTATATGTAGTCATTTTTAAGGGCAAGGAGCTATATATAGACACATTTTGTGGAATCACTAGTACAAAAATGAAAAGGAAGAATAATATGCCCCGCAAAGTTTTATGATGAAAAATCTTCACAAGTCGGGAGGTTTAAAGGTATGCTTGGTTTGACGTTAGCACCACAAAAGTCTGTGTAATTTATAATGCGTCATTGATATTCGGTAAAGTTGAAGAACCAATAAGGCAAAAAAAAAAAAAAAAAACTAATTAACAAAACCTGCCATGTCTAATTTTGAGTTTGAGAACTCTATCATTCGTAGATGTTTTATAAGTAGTACACTGAATGATAACATATTTTGATAACACAACACTTGAAAATGTACAAGCTTCTTCAAATCTACCCCAAACTAGCTACTTGAAGATAGAAAATATGGTCTGAACAATGGTGAGGACAAGGAGTATGATTCCAGCAATAGAGGCCACGATTTGCCATGGTGTCCTGCAATAATCATGTTTCAGAGTTGCTTTATTCTGACGCAAAGGATTTTTGCAGAATCCATTTAACCTTTTGAAAAGATCAATATATTCAGAAATCATCACTGATTGAAAGGAATTCTTTTGCATTATTCTAAATAATGCAACAACCTCGGTATCAGGTTTGAAGCTATGGATTATATTCTCATCAACGAGAACGTTCACATCTTCCTTTGTGATGATAAGGCAATTCCACTCACTAATGTAGTTTGTAATGTAAGAGGCACGAGGACAATGGAGCTGTTCAAAAGCAACCATATTTAGAAACAAAGCTTTAGTCACGAGATCCTTCACCACAAAACATGGAAGCTCAAGAACACCCCTTGAAAACTTGATGTCTAAGATGCTCTTGCTTTTACTGGCCTTGAACTTTACTCCAAATTCTTGCAACTCCTTTGCAGTGTATAAAAGAACTTCAGTAGTCGAAGAAAATGGTTTCAATGTTGGTGGTTCTCTTTGTCCGAACAAAAACCTTACCAAATCTGTAAAATGCTTGATCCTCTCATGAGGATCATGCTTTGGCTTCTCAAGGTCAAACATCGGACAAAATAACTCATAAGCAAGCTCAAGAAATGAAGGGAGATTACCACGAAGGCCAAGAGGAAACGCTATATTGAATAGCTCTTCAAGAACAAAGAATGGTAATTGATTTTCAAGTAAAACCAAATCTAGAGGTATAGTTTCCAAAAGTGGAAGCTGTGACAGCTTAGCATCATTCAACATGTCCTCTCTCTTATAGAACCTGTACAAAAATTCAATGATGAAAGCAGCATCCACTAATATCAATTTCACAAGTTCCATGTCACCGAAGTTGATGTTCTCTGAGTAACAAGCACGCACTTTCGGCACTGAACGTTTCACAAAACTAACCAAATCATTCAGGCTTGTCTTTGTTCTTTGTGTAAATCTTTTGAAGAAGACTTGCTTGTGCCTTTCCATATCTCGCAGCCTCTTATTCGTACGGTAATGAAAGGGACCAATTGAAACAAATTTTGGGGTGTAGGCGTCTGGTCTTAGATCACGCATCGTATGACACACGCTAGAGATACACCAGTCTGGTGACAAAAGACCATCTCCACTATCTCGAATCAGTGTTTCAATGTCAATCATCACATCATCTTCCATCTATATCAAATTTGATTTTGAAAGAAATGAGCAATTAGGTATGCAAATTAATCAAGGACCTGTTTGTTTAAGCTTAACAAAAAAGAAAGTGATTGGAAGAAACTGAATTAAACATGAGGGGTTGTAAGAAGAAAATATGTTTTCAGCTTATTTTGATAAGTAATTTCAAGTCCTGAAAAGCAGTCACATTAAACAAAAATATCGAATGCATTCTCAACTACCCATGAGGCCATTGGTGGTAATAATGTTTCCATATGGGGGTTCAGGTTTGTCTGGCCAATGGCAGAGCCAAGACCCCTAGATGAAAGGGTGTAATATCTTAGAACACAAGGGCAGGGTGCAAAATATTAAAACTACTTAAGGGTAAATAGTTAAAATTTCAAGGCCAAATGCAAAATATTTAAATTTATAACTAAAATTTTAATATTCCCCAAAAACGACAGGGTGCATTTGCCCACCCAACTCAATGTGGCTCCTTACTGGTTTGGACAGATGGTAGTAATAGCCCCAATTTTTTTAGGATACCGAGTGATATAATTTTAAAAAAAACAAATTAAAGGCTAAAATAGGCTAATAGCACATATAGGCATCAAATATTAGCAATCTTACCTGAGCAGAGGTCAAGTCTTTCTTCTTCAAGCCTGTCTTCTTCATGTCTTCCATCTTTGAATGAATCCCAGTATGCGCGAGCAAGCGCTTCCTATATACTGCTACTGTGAAGTGCAAATTTTCAATTTGTAGAGTTCAATATATTCTTATATATAGCTAGTACGATATAATTGTCTAACAAGCTAATAATTTTGAAAGCAGACATGCACGTATGCTTTTGTAATCTTACAAGCTGCAACCAAGAGAAAAAGCAAATAAACTCAAAAGCAAAGAATTCACACGATTGGAAGATAGTGGAAGATTCAGCAACTTTGTTCTTCCAAATTGATTTGTGTTTTTAATGTGGAGTGACGAGAAGTTATGCAACCTTTGTTTTTCTAAATATATCTGAAATTGCAAGTCTTAATTTTCTTGATGTTCTTTCTTTGTTTTTTTTTTTTTTGGTCATGAATTTTCTTGATGTTCTATTACAGAATATATAACATGTAGTTCATCCCCCCACAATCTAGAAGAAATTTTCTTTTTATTTTTTTATCCTGAAAAAATTTGCTTCCGCGTAGCAAGGAAGTAATATTCTTGAGAAAGAATATTTAAAGGGTATTTTGAAAAGTGAAATTAATAGTACAAAATCATTTGAATTTGAGTGGAAAAAGTCTAATAATTAAATTATGTATAATTGCAATTTCTTTCCGGATCCTAGAGTTGTGAAACTTCGGCACATTTTATTTTGCAATTCATTATTGTCATTAAATAAATAAAACAGTGTCATCAATTATTTCAACTTCTCACTGGCAAAAGTTATTGGAACATCAAACTACTTCGATCGTTTACATAAATAAGTGATTAAATATTGACACCCTTTGAATTCAAGTCTAACTTCCTTTTCAATAAATAATTCATTAATACATATAGGGAAAAAATAGAATGGGTAAAATGAATGAATTAGGTCTCATACACTTCAATTTTTCCATCACTGATATTTCTCCTACAGCACTCTTTAGCACCACTTCAGAATATTTAAACAAAAACTTATAATTCACTTCAGTTTACTGAATACATACAACACAAATATCAAAAGCAAATTAAAAATAGACTAAAAAATTCAAAAAAAAAAGGGGGAAATCATTTGTAAAAACAAAAAAAAAAAAACAAAAAGCGTCAAATAAGCTAATTTGAAACTGAATGAAACGCTAAATACAACAGTCTGTTACCAAATGATCATCTCTTCACTACGTTGAATCAATGCTTCAATGTCAACCATCACATCATCTTCTTCCATCTATCAAATTTGATTTAGAAAACAATATGCAGTTACGTATATAACAAAATAAGAGGAATTAATAGGAGGGATGTGAATCCTATCGCCATACTTTCTCTCATGTTCTACAAGTTCCATGTAATTGAGGTGGATGTCCTTTGAGTAAGAATCACGAACTTGTTGCATTGAAGATATGGCGAAATAACTAATTAACCAAATCACTCAAGCTTTTCTGAGATTTAGGGGCAACTCTTGCAAAGAAGATTTCTTTGTGCCTTTGCATATCTGGTAGTCTATTATCATCATTATGAATGGGGCCAAATGAAATAAAATTTGAGGAATAAGCGTTTACATATTGATCACGGATCGTACAAGGCACCTTGTAGCTAGAAACAGCATCTAGGTAACAAGACACCCCCTTGGTTTCGCTGAATCATTGCTTCCCTGTCCGTGATCACATGATCTGCCAACTATATTTTGATTTAGAAGAGCAATCATCAACTTTGCATTAAAAAAAAAAAAAAAAAAGAGGAGGAAAGAGGAACATAAGCTTGAGATGAGATCCAAACTGAGAAGAAACTAGAGGGCAACTACATGTACACTTGATCATTCGATAGCGCAGATTTCTTGTAATCTCTCACAAATCTTTTGGTAAGTAAAAATTAATTGAAATGCTAAAGAATCTATAATACCATACATATATAGGCATCAAACTGCAGCAATCTTACTTGTTGGGGAGGTTGTTGATGAATTTCCTCCTGTTCTTCAGTAATATCAAACATGGTCATGCATTGCGACTTCATTTCTTGGAAAAGAATCTGAGAATGTAAGATCTGATCTTCTTCACCAAAGCAGCTTAGCTGATACTTGAGACTGGAATCTGGGGTCCTTTTATATTTTTTTGTCCACCAAGGAGTTGGCAAATAAAAACAAAGAAGAATGAATTCCATCAAACTAGACAATCTCTGTTAACATAGAAAAAAATCTAAAAATAATATAAAAAAGACAAATTATAATTTTTATATCCTTTTTTATTCTTTCAGTTATTTTCTGTAATTATTTAAATTATTTTTTATATCTTTATAATCAATTAACAATCAAAATTATTTGTAAACAAAGATTGTCATGATTTTAAATATTTAAAAATAAAATGTACCAAGTTTAAAATTTCAAATAATTTTAGGCTTATAATTTAAGGATTAATTGAAATGCTGACGTAGCGAACGCGACTTCATGTAGATGGTGCAAGGTTTAAATGGAATAATATAAGAACACAGCTGAGCTGGCTTTTCTAGATTCTAATATTATCAAGGGAGAGCATATTAATATTAAAACCATAGATGTGACTGAATTAAAAAATATATAATAAATTGTTAAGATTGAAACGAAAATAATTTTGTAAGATAAATTATTAAATTGCCCTTAATAGAAATAAAGAAAAAATATAAATTGGTGCTTAACTTATTAAATAATATGTAATATCATTTGTTAAATCCCCAACAATTCTCATAACGCTACTTTTTTCAACATAATGAAATGCTATGTTTTCTTACCAAGTAAGCTAATGGATTTTACAAGCTAAGCTATAAGTTAAAAATTTATAACAAGTTGTAATAGATTTAACTTGAGTTAAATAACTAACAGGCTAATTAAGTCTTTTTCTCACTAAATCTTATTTTCATATAAGTATTTGGGGAGTGCAGTAAATTTTTATATTTTTGAAACCTTTTCTTGATATAAAAAATTTCTAGGAGTTCTTAAATACCCCATCTATTAAAAAATATAAAGCATTTTTTGAGGAGTTGAGTGTTTAAAAATGTAAGGCATTTTTAATCTTTCGAGGTGCAATCATTGCCTTTTTTTTCAAAAGTATTCATATTGATAATGACTTTACATTTATTATAGGGTATTTAATAAAGATAGATATAAAAAAATAAAGTTAATTTAAAAGTAGGTAACTACTTTATTGGAGGGTGAGATTTGGTAAAAAATGCTTTACATTTTTTAAAGGTAATATTTTTCATTATATAAAGCAATGATTAAAAAATTAAATTAAACCAGCCAATCATATCAGTTGAACCATCGACCGGTCAGGCTAACGACTTGGTCAAGTAAAACAAATCATCTAAAAGTCAATTAGGCTAATGACTTGGTCAAACTTGGAACTAAGTTTGGTTTTTAAAAAGCAAACTGTTAAAAAAATACCTTTTTTCTTTTTTATTAATTTTTTTATAAAATAACTAATTTTTTTAATCATTTGATGTTATATTATATCATATAACTTGTTAAGTTATGGTAAACTTAAAATATTTAACTTTATTTTTAAATTAAGTAATAATTTCATATTTATTTCTTATACATATGGTTTTTTTAATTTAATTATTAAGTTATTGGTTCGATCATTAGTTTAACCTGATTAAACCATGCGAACTATAAATCGTTGACTTTTTTAGTTCAATATCCAATCAAGTTTTAAAAAATATTTATAGCTGTGATCTTAGGGCAATGTTTAAATAAAAAATGGATGATGCCATCGAATTAAAATATTAAATTGGTTGGCGTGGGTGTGGGTGTGTGGAGGAAAAACATGAGATGTAGAACACTTTTGTACTAATCTTTCAAAGGTTATATTTAAAAGATAAAATCATTAATGTAAAATTAAAATTTACAACAATTGATACCCTTCACATAAATATTATAATTGACCTTTTAAATATATAAATATTATATATATTTATATATGATATATTATAAGGATTTGAAATTTTGAATCGTTCCTCTTTTATATATATATATATATATTAATTCATCTTACATTAAAAACATCAAAATAATAAGCCTAAAATATAAAAAAGTTTTAAAAAAATAATTAATAATATTTATATTTTAAAAAAAAAAATAAGTTGTAAATATCAATTCAAACCCCTACAAATTTCAGAGACTTGGTTAAAATATACAAAAAAAAATTGAACTTCAAGGTATTTACACAAAACCCCTTATATAAATTTATATTAGTAAAAGTTATCATATTATATTAAAAAAGAACGTTAAAAACTCACGCGACATTATGCGTACACTAATAATTGCATTAAAAAAATTTATTAATATTTTATTTTATTATTATTAGCTAATGTCACCTCAACTCCACGTGGCTAGTAATAAGAGAAGCTGATAACTTACTATCAACATTGATATTCTTTTATTAAAAATAATCTTATACAAAATACTTCCACTATTTAAAAATATAAGATATTTTTAAAAAGTTAGATATTAAAAAATATAAAATATTTTTAATATTTTAAAATATAATTATTATTTTTTTAAAGTGCCTTTATTAATGAATGATTTTATATTTATTGTAGGGTATTTAATAGAGGTAAATATAAAAAGATAAGGTTAGTTTAAAAGCAGGTAATTATTTTATTAAGGGGCAAAATTTTATTAAAAATATCTTATATTTTTTGAATGAAGACAGTAAAAATTTAAATTTTAATTGAGAAAATTACATATCAATTCAATTCAATATAATTAATTATTTTTATATTTATTAATAATTAAAGTTTAAAAAAATGACAACACATTTATTAATGAATCTAGCAATAATGATTCTTCTAAATTTAACTGTTAATGCATATGAAAAGAATTAATTGTGTTAAGTGAGATTTTTAAAATATTTCTCTTATCTTATCGTGAATCGTGATCCACGCTGTGAGTGATTCCAGGGTTCTCCTGTCTCATTTGCTATCTGTATATCCATTATCTTTGAAAGATCAAGGAGGAAAATCTAGCTGGACCGCGGGATCTGCGGTCTTCTTGCTGAAAAGATTTTGATGCGTTGAAAAATATTAAAATGTTGTCGGTTTTCTTGATTTTTTGCTTTGATCATGTGCCACGTCTCGTCATGAAAGTATCCTCGTCTCTTTTATTTATTCACTTTCATTTCTTGTACGACTTTGACTTTGCGTTCATTTACCTGCCCTTGAATATTGAATAATATTGTTTTCCTTTTATTTTATTATTTTTTATTATTCGAAAACAATCACAGACATTAAATATATATATATATCTCTCATCAAAGATTTTAATTTTATTTTATCACAAGAGGGACTAATTATATTATTATTATTTCATATCATTCATTTTAAGATGTTTTGGATCTTAATGATTTTTTTTTTGCTAATTGATTTTAATGCTTTCATTTATCCTAAGTAGGGCTGGTTGAAAACTGGATGGCCGTATAGTTGATTTCTGTTGCTTTGATATTTTTCTTGGCTTCTTGTTTCATTTTCTGTTTAAAAATGCATTGGTTCTAACTTGTAATTAATTAAGAAGCCTAGATCATGCTGTATATTGTTGGTTAAGTTTGCCAAACAACTAGTAATTTTGTATGGTATGGAGGACCATTCGGTGCATTTAATCTAAACTTTTATGCTTAATTGGGCCATTAATTATACCAACTATTGTCAAGATTGTTAAACTTATAAGTTTAAGTAAATTTGTGATAAACAATGTAAATTTATATCGTAAGCTCAAACCGTAAACTTGTAAGAATTTACTTTTATTAATAAATATCCATTATAATATAGTCGTAATTTAATTTAAATATATTAAAAATAAAGGTAATTGAAATTAAACCCATTTATATTGATAAATTATTATATACAAGATATAAAAATTTTAAAATAAGAAAACTTATTTTTTATATTTTTATTTTCTTTTTTATTAATATTATTTTTTATGTTTCAAGTTTTTTTCTTTTGAACTAGGTTCTATAACTTTTATGAACTGAATTTTTTATAATATATAATTAACTCAATCAACTCAAAAAAAAAATTTGATAAGCTTGATAAATTTGACTAAGATTGCATCTAGCCTAAATTTATAAATTAATTGACACAATTTTATAAGTTAAAAACTTAAAAACAATAAACTCGGAGGTAAACTCAAGAGTTTAACTGAATTTATATTTAGTTCGAATATATAAATGAGTTAATATAATTTTATAAATTAAAAATATAAAAATATTAAACTCAAAGAGTTAACTCAAAAATTTAATAACCATGATTTTAGTTATTAAAGTCTGTCTCAATTGCGTAACCTTTTTTTGGTTCCCCTAATTTAATTGTTTGATTTGGTCATTGCTACATCCAACTGTCAAATTATTTGGCTAAATAATCTAAAGATGCATCATTGGCTTTGCTTAAACTCCCTCCATTTTAAAATATATGAGAGAATGTTTTTTTTATTTTTATTTATAAACGAAATTATAAATTTTAAGAAGTATTTATCACATTTTTCTTAATTATATTTATCCATTATAAATCAATATCTTTTTCTTTATATAAATTTTTTTCATTAATTATAGATGTAATTTAATCCCATTTTTTAATCTCACATATAATTATTATATTTGACTAATTTTTTTAAACTACATCTATAAATTGATTATTTTTTTTATATTTAAAAAGAGATGGAGTAACTTATATATAATAAATTTATAAATCATTTGATGCTTGACAACCACAAAACATTGTTCGATAAAGCAAATAATATTTTGGCCAAAAAAAAGATAAAACAAATAATACAATGCCTCTATATTTATTACTATTTACTAAAACAGTATAAATCTACAAGTTACATTTTAGGTATTCATTATTAGGGCTTATGAGGAATTAAAAAAAAACTTATAAATTTAGTCATTGAGAAAATCTCCCTTCTTTCTTTCGTTCTATTTTTCTTCCTGAATTTCTTCAGTTTTTTTGTCTTTATAAAATTATAGGAGAATGGTAGTTAGATCCCAAAATTTTAAATTCATGACAAGTAGATCCTAGAATTTTACATCAATGATTGACAGGTCCTCAACA